GGGAGAAGCAGGCTCCCCGCTGAGCAGGGAGCCCGATGCGGGGCTTGATCCCAGGACCCTGGGATCATGACCTTAGCCGAAGGCAGACGCTCAACCGACTGAGCCACCCAGGCGCCCCGGGATGTGCAACTTCTTTTGCCAGGAGCTGCAAACAATAAACTATGAAATAGCCAAAATCCAGGTGTGTATCTTGAATAACACACAGAATGTATAGTAATCAGAACCTAGGGTTGTCTGGGTGGCTCAGTCTGTTGAGCTGCTCACTCTAGATTTTGGCTCAGGTTGATCTCTGGGTCCTGGGATGGAGACCCACCTCCGGCTCTCTGCTTAGTGGGGAATCTGTTTCTCCTTCTCCCTTTGCTCCTAACCCGCCCCATTCATGCTTGCTCACTCTCTCCCAAATAAATAAGTAAAATCTTAAAAAAAAAAAAATTTATTTGAGAGAGAGAGGGGGCGGGGAGGGGCAGAGGGAGAGGGAGAAAATCTCAAGCAGACTTTGTGCTGAGTGTGGAGCCCGGCATGGAACTTGATCCCACGATCCTGAGACCATGACCTGAGCTGAAATTAAGAGTCAGCACTTCAAGTCCCTGCTTGAAATTCCTTTGGGCCTATACCTACAAGTGTAATTGCTGGGTCATATGGTAATTCTGTTTAGCTTTTTGGGGAAATACCAAACTGTTTTCCATAACAGCTACACCATTTTACATTATCAATAACAGCACACAAGGGTTTCAATTTCTTCATGTCCTTGTCAACAGCCACTATAGAAGATTGTGGAAAGGTTCCTGAACTTGAGTTGAAAAAAGTCAAGTACCATTTCTGGTTTTTTCTTTTTACTCCACTCCCTTCCCAGCTTTGCTTTTTAATAAAATTTTTATTTTGGAACAACTTTAGATTTACAGAAAAGTTGCAAATATAGTTGTCTTAGTCTGTTCAAACTGCTATAACAAAATACCACAGACTGGGAGACTGGGTGGCTTATGAACAACAGAAACTTATTTCTCACAGTTCTGGAGGCGGAAAGCCCAAGATCAGGGTGCTGACATGACATCGCTAGGTTCCGGTGAGGACCCTTTCTAGAGTTGCAGACTGCAGCCTTCCTGTTCTGTTCTCACGTGGTGCAGGAGGTGAACTAGCTCCCGGGGGCCTCTTTAACAAGGTCATTCATGTCATTCATGAGAGCTCCACCCTCATAACCAGTCACCTCCCAAAGGCCCTACCTCCTTATTCCATCACATTGACCACAAGTTTTCAACTTGAGTTTTGGAGGGACACAAACATTCAGGCCATAGCAATAGAACTGAGAGTTCCCAAATGCCCTTCACCCAGCATCCTTCAGTGTTCACATAGCCATGGTACATTTGTCAAAACTAAGCAGTTAAGATTGGTACAATACTAACTAACTAAATAATAGACTTTATTCAGGTTTCACCTCATTTCCACCAAGGTCCTTTTCCTGTCCCAGACTCCAATCCAGAATACCACACTGCGGGTAGCAGCTCTGCTTTGTATTCGCTGAGACACTTCCGCCACTTTCCTCTCTAATCCTCAGCTGTCGCTCGTGTCCAGAGGGAACAATTTGAGTGCAACCTCCACCTCACGGGGTGCAGTGAGGATTGAAGGGGGTGGAAGAGGGGAGAGCGTTTTGTGAGCTGTAAAGCTTCAGGCCAATGTAAAGGATTGTTACTGAAGCCCGCGGTGGCCTCTCTTCACCACTGGTCTGCCACTAGGGGTCCTCTTGCTGACGTGGCTGCCATGGGCTTTGGAAGGAGGCCTTCCTACCAGGCCTCCCCCTGGCCGGGGTACTCCTGGTGCTCCAGGCCCTGTAGGCTGATTGAGGGGAGGACCTCGCCTCATTCATTGATTGACCAAGGGCTTTGGCAGACCCTCCTCCCAGTGCTTCCTGTCTGTTTGCAAAGCTCCTCTGGGTGCTGCCAGCTTCAAGCTTAGGGGTGGAGGAGGCTGGAGGTTACAGACTCCACTCTCTCCTGGGCATTTGAAATGCCCAGCATAGGGCCAGCAGGCCACAGAGCACCCTGCATTGGCTCAGCTGCTTATCGATTCTCTCCTGGTTGGGGAAGGGGAGTGGGGGTGGGTTGAGGGTGCAGGAGTGAAGTGCTGAGTCTATTTTGGGAGGTTGCAGGAGTCTAGCTTGGCATGCCCTCTCCACACTTGGCCCCCTCTGGCGTTTCCTAGAAGGATTTCCCATCCTCCCACAGCCACTCTCTCCCACCCTCCTTCCTGCTTAGTGCTTATAGTTGACTAGTGGCCCTAAAAGACGTGTCTCAGTCCTAACCCCTGGTACCTGTGAATGTGACATTATTTGGAAATAGGGTCTTTGCCGTTGTAACTAAGTTAAGGATCTTATGATGAGATCATCTTGGATTTAGGGTAGGCCCTAAAGCCAATGACAAGTGTTCTTCTAAAGGACAGAGAAGGAGAAGACACCAAGAAGAAGGCACATGAAGATGGAGGCAGAGGGTGGAGTCCTGCTGCCACAAACCAATTGACACCAAGGGCTGCCAGTAGCCACCAGAACCTACAAGTGAGGCATGGGACTGATTCCCCCTCAGAGCCTCCAGAAGGAATCAGCCTGTTAACACCGTGATTTTGGACGTCTGGCCTTGTCTTAGCTCATGCTGCCATAACCAGATACCACAGAGTGGGTGGCTTAACCGACAGAAATGTATTTTCCCACAGTCCTGGAGGCTGGAAATCCGAGGTCAGGATGCCAGCATGGGTGGGCTTTGGTGAGGGCCCTCTTCCTGACTTGCGGACAGCCGCCTTCACTCTGGGGCCCTCATGGCGCAGCAAGTGGGAGAGAGAGTGTGTTTCTTCTTCAAAAGCACTAATCCCATTGTGAGGATCCTACTCTCATGACCTCATCTAAGCCTAAATTTCCCAAAGCCCTATCTTCAAATACCATCACATGGAGGTGGGGGGGGCGGGGGAGGTAGGGCTTCACTGTACAAATTTTGGGGGGATGCAGTTCAGTCCATAGCAGGCCTCCAGGGCTGGGAGAGAATGAATTTCTGTTGTTCTAAACCACCCAGCTTGTGGCACTGGTTATGCAGCCTTGGGACACTGAGACAGTGTCCCACTTCTCTAGGCCCCCTCCTCCCAGAGACCACCAATGCAAAAGAAGACTTAGGGGCTGCGGTTGGGGGGGTCACGGCCAGGGCACCGGCTTGCAGAGGCTGTGGGTGTGCATGAATGGTGTGAAAGTGACCTGGGCTCACAGGGTCCAGACCCAGTGACCCTGGGAGGACCAGCACTGGGCAGAGGCAGGCTGGGGCTGTTGTGGGCACCCCTCATCTTCAGCTACCACCCCTGAAGATGGGGCCCCGGCACTACACTTGGAAGTGATTCATCAGCACGAGCCCTTCCTGGATCTGCTGCTAGGCTTTGTGGCTGGCACTGAGGACCTGGGCCCACAGAACGAGCTGGGCCAGACACCCCGGCAGCTAGCAGCCAGCCTGTGGAGGGGTGCACACTGCAGAAGTGTGTGGCACACACTGGGTTGTTGCTCCTGACCTGCTGCAGGCATGGCTCCAGTCCCCACTGGCTGCCCCAAGGAGCCCCTGACCCCTACCTAGCTCAGGGCCCAAAACACATCCCCAACATCGACCCAAGAACCAGCTTAGAGAAGTTGGAGGAAAGTGAAGAGGACCAGAAGCTACAGTTGCAGGCTGAAAATGACAAGGACCACGGCC